GCCCCCCCCCCCCGCCCCGCGGAGCGCACACGGACGCTGGGCCCACTCACCTCCATCTCCGAGCTGTGCGCGTGCACCTTCTGCACCATGTCCTCGGCCTCGCGCATGCGGCGGGTCAGCTGGGGCGAGTACTCGGCCGGGGTCAGCTCACTGTCGTAGGACCCCAGGATGGCGCGCATGCCGTCCCGCTCCTGTGGGCACAGAGGGCAAGAGGTCAGGCCCGCGCGGGCGAGGGGCGTGAGGGAGACAGGAGCAGCGTGGTGGGCTTGGGCTCAAGTTCGAGGGGCAGGCCGCCAGGTGGGGCCCCCTAGGTGGCTCCTTGAAGAGCTCGAGCTGGACACTTAGCCCAACGGAGCCCACCAAGGCCGAGACGGGCCCTGGCTGCTCTGAAGCCGCGGCCCAGCTTGGCCAGTGCCCGGTGAGCCTGGGCCCATCCTCGGTGGGGCCATGCTGCCTGCCCGGCCTTGAGCTGCACCGTCTGACCTGCGGTGGCCAGAGACTCATGGGCCAGCAGAGGGCGGGGGCTGCCTCCATCAGGGGTCGGCACCCCTCCCTCCCCGTGTCTGCAGTGTCCCCCAGCTGGGCAGAAGGTCTGAGCCAGCGTGACCTCCTGAGTCCCGGCCAACAGACCAAGGGACACAACAGTGGGGTCCGCTGGCAAGTGGGCTGGAGTAACCCCGCTGCCGTGACTTCGGACCTGGCCTTTGACCCGGCAGCACGCAGAGCGAGGGTCTGAGCAGGAGGTTCGGTGGGGAAGGAGAGCTCCCTCTAAGCAGGGAGGCGGCGGGTGCCCAGCAGGGCCGAGGAGTCCTCCCAGAGCGCTCTGAGAGGCCCCAGGACCCCCGCAGCACCAGCTCTGGCCTCGGCAAGCTCCTCCCCGCCACAACCCTGAGCCCACGGGGTGCCAGAGGCCACGGCCCTGGGCGTCACCATGCACCAGCCATGCCCGGCACCCCTCCTCCACGTAAAGATGCAGCTCAGGTTTCGTGGGGCACACAGCGCTGAGACCACCCCTTAGAGCCACACAGGAGTCCCCACCCAGTGGTACCCTACTGGAAACGATGGCCAACAGCACGAGCCCTGGGAGAGATGGGCGGCGCCTTCTGAGCCACACGGGAAGACCCCTTCCTGAGATGCTGGCGAAGGGAGGACAGCAGGGGAGGCCCTCAGAGACCGAGGCTGTCCCCAAGGCCAGCAATGGAGCCGCCCTGGCAGCCGGGGAAAGGGCGCTGGCACGGGGGAAGGAGGCGCCCCTCCCCCACTGCGGGCCTGGAACCACGAGCCAAACTCTTCTAGACTCAGCCCCCAAGTGTGCGGGGAGGAGACCTCATTCCTAGCAGGCTGCAGCACGAGCTGAGGACTGGCACCTGCCCTCCCCCTGCCCCCACGCCTCCCGGCTGCGGCCGAGGAGGCCCGCACGGGCTGCACAATTAGACAAAATCAGGTCCCCTGCAGAGAGCCAGGCTTAACGAGAGCACGGCTTCTCAAACCTCCCATCTTGCACATCTCCCGGGTCCTGTGAAACCTCCTTTCAGATTCAGCAGGTCTGGGGTGGGGCCTGAGAGTCTGCCTTTCTAACAGGCGACGTTGCCGGTGTGCGGGCCACACTGGGGAGCTTAGTGGCCTAGCCTGGGCCAGCACAGCCCAGGAAGCAAAGGTGGCTCCCACAAGACCACGTCCGGGTCCCAGCTCTGCTCTGGGTTACCCGAGGCCAGCGCTTTCGTCCACCTGAGCCTCCTCCCTGGTCAGCGGGGTGGGCCATCTGCACATTTCACAGGCCGGCCGGGATGACTGATGCCCTCCTGGACCAAGCAGCCAGCCGCCGGCCTGTGAGCCTCGAGCCTCACGTGGTGACAGCAGCCATCTCATCCACACCGGCAAACAGACCTCCACGTTTGGACTCCAGGGCGCAGCCCCTCCCGCAGGCATGCCCGGCGCAGCAGCTGGAGAAGCTCGTGCAGCCTTGCTCCGCACCCCGGCCGGCGCCCCTCGCAGCCCACACACCCGCCAGGGCACTGCATCCCGGGCGAGCCGCAGGGCCAGCCCGCACCAGCACCGGCTCCGAGGCATGTTCTCGGACCCTCTGCCCCGTGCTCTCGGCCGCTGCTTCCGTGAACTGAGGCCCAACCCCCCGGGCAGAGACCTGCCCTAACTTTTGCTCCACCCCGAGCACCGATGCTGCCCACCCAGTCTGCCCAGGCCCCTCCTTCTCAGGTGAGACTGGCGAAGACTGGGGGCTCACAGGGTCCCCTCTTCCCCCTCAGGAGCCCATCGGCCCCCGCCCGCCAAGTTCAGCGGTCTCCTGCGCTCCCGGGCCTCTGGCTGGGCCATCGCCCCAGCACGGACCTCATCATTAGTTGACGACAAAAAATTCAATAAGTGAGAAATTAAAGTTACAAATCCAACTGGAACTGGTCACACATCCGTGGAAATTTTGTTTCCAACAGGAAGGTTTATCGAGTGTCATAATTTTATTGAAATCCTGCATCTTCCCATTGACTTTTACGGTTTCGAGCTGGCTACACAGTTATTATTACCAGAGCATCGATGCCACGCAGGGGCCGGGGAGGAGCTTCCTTTCATAAACAAGCTGTAATTGTCACCTTTATTGACCAATAAATCTCCAAAATGCTGCCTCCCACTACGGTTCTCTTCTATTACGTCTCCAGGCTGGCAAAGAGGAAGATATAAAATTGAAAGTTTGCTGTTTGTACCTTTTAAGGAAACTGTTTTGCCATTTAGTCAGGAAGCAGCGAGAACTGGGCTGCTTTGATCTGACAACGACTTTTTAACGACAGATTCCACTTGTGGTGAAGGGCCCTGCGTTTCCACTTGAACAAGTGTGGGAACTAATCCCTGAACAAACAGGCACCCAGCCTGAGCAGAGGAGCCGCGCAGACGCCTCCAGGTACAGACAGGACGGGGCTCCCCTGGGTGCTTCTCCCCGGGGACACCACAGCCCCGTCTGTCCCGGCACGCTTGCTTGTCACGTGATCAGCGCAACCCAAGGAGCGTGGTCACAGCATCGCGCAGGGAGAAACGGACTGAGGACGCGGGGGAGGGGGCAGTGATGGAAGTTGCCCTCGACCCCCAGGCCCAGCCTGCAGCGCCCAGAGGGGTGCGGGAGAGCGGAGGCCGCGACTGGCAGCAAAGGCAGCGGCCGTGACCCTGCTCCGACCCCGCCAGCCCCAGCTTCAGAGCTGCGGTCTGTGACTGACAGGCCGGCCCTGACAGCCCCACACTCCCTGACAGACGAAGCGTTTGGGGTGATACGTACCGACCCTCCCGTACACAGGCCTCAACGACTAGATGGAGAAAGCACGGGGGGGTGACCAGGCCTGGCTGGGCGGTAGAGGGTCTGCACACATCCTCCAGAGTGGCAGCCCACGCGCCCAACGCTCCGTGGCTGGCGCTCCTGGTGTCTACCCGGAGCTCGCGCCAATGCCCAACTCGGGGACAAGGCCGGGGCCACTCCGCGTAGGCAGCTCAAGAGCCCAGCCCTGCAATGCCTCTGGGCTGGCTCGGGACGGTGCCAAAAGGACGCCAGGACACACAGCTCCAGACCCTCTCTACCCGTCACCGTCTTCCTGCCCCTCCTCCCTGACCGGCTCAGAGCTCTGCAGGCTTGCAAGTGGGGACCAGGGCAGTACCAAGGCGATGTGGTCTCTGCAAGTTCTGGAATATTCCCAGTAAGAACCCAGAATCTGAGGATGGCAGAGATGAAACCAACGCTTTCTTCTTTTATGTACATGAAGGGAGTGGAGAGCCCCAGCGGTGCTGAGAAGCGGTGGAGAAAGGAAGTCATATAAAGCTTGGAAGGCACTCAGATCAAGTCCAGGCCACTGTTTCCTGGAAAGAAAATGGGGGCACAGAGGAACAAAGTCACTCGTCCCAAGCCCCACAGGGAGGATGGGCCCAGGCCAGCCAATAACCAGGCGGCAGCCAAACTCTTAGAGCCCAGGGCCCAGCCCGGCAGCCAGAGTGTGGACTCAGCAGGCACCTGCAGGAGGGGGCGGGAGGTCCAGGTGGGCGCTGAGAGCCCTGCCCGGGGGAAGGCTGGGCTAGGGAATGGGTGGGGGCAGAAGCGGGGCGTGCAGGTGGACGCAAGCTGGGGGATACAGAGGGGATGGGTACGGAGTCTGAGCAAGGACCCCTCCCTCTAACCTGTCAGCGGATGCTGCCAATTCCGTCCACAGGAACGCATTTCCGCCCGCCCCCACCCCCCACCGCCAGCAGCTTGTTACCTGGGTGGGGCTGGTTAGGAATGCAGGTTCCAGGGGCCCATCCGGCCCTTTGGCTCCCTGGGGACGGATTCCTGAAGTGCTGTCCTGTCCCTCAAAGATGCTGAGCCTGCCCTCACCTCAGGCCTCTGCTTTGCTGACCCCTCAGTCTGGAAATTTCTCCCCGGGGACAGGTCTGGCCCTCTCGTCCTTCAGGCCCGTCCCCGCCGGCCACGCGGCCTAGCGCACCTCACCACGCACAGCTCTGCTCACCGCCATCACTGTCCGTCTTTCCTTCGAAACCACTCAAGCCCCAGGTCTCCCAGGCCTGGCCAGCTCTAGGCTGAAGGGGAAACCAGGGACGGGTCGGGGGGGGGGGGGGGGGGGGGCCCCCCCCCCTGCCAGTGCAGGGGACACGGGTTTGTGCCCCGGTCCGGGAAGATCCCACATGCCGCGG